AGAAAAACTGATTTTTCTTTTGATTTCTCTTTTTCCACTTTTTACTTGTTTAGGTTTTACTCTCTGATCATTTTGTTTCTCTGTGAAGCTGTACATTATCTGTAGTTTTTTTTGTCTTGTTTTGTTCCCATTCATGCTGTTCCATGCTTTTCCTTCCCTCCTGTCTTCTTTACCAGTTTTCTTGGTAATCTTCCTCTGTCTTTCAGCTTTGCCTCTAATATACTTTTCTTCTTTTATTTGTCTACTTTTTCCTCTTCTTCCTTTTTAATTTTCTCCCCTTAGGATGAAATTGCTCCATTGAGTGGTATTTACTGTATGTAATTTTCTCATTTGTCCTAGGCTTTGTTATATAACTATAAATCTTATACATACAGTTAAGTGGCAAATTGTTAGTTATCACAGCTTGTCATTCCAGCCTGTGTTTGATGCTATTGTTATTGCTGACTGTACTACTTTACCCAAAGTGACATAGTTGCTGTGATCAAATGATCTTCCTTGTATGTCAACATCTAGATGGTATTGGAGACATAATACTACAGTCCAAAAGCAAAGAATTGGGTGCTAGGCCAAACAGGCTACAACCTCTCATCTCTACTAAGCAGAAAAGGCAGGATCCTGAGACAGACTCAAAGGCTAAGCGCCAGCTATGCCTAGAAGACACCTCTGAAAAGGAGTCATTGCCTAAAGAGGTCTTGATGTAGTAATAAAGCTACCTACCATAAGTAATTTATAAGCATCAACACAGAAAACAATAACAACAAAGAAAATGAGAAAACATGGAAACAAAATGCAACCCCAGGCATCTAGCTCCCCCAAGGCAAATCCAGGGGGCACTGAGGTGGGAAAAAAAAAAATCAAAAGCCACCCAGCTGAACTTTCTGAAATTATAGCAGTGGAAATAATAAAGTAAGTGACTGAATCTCTAAGGAGGGAAAAAACACAGAAATAACTACACACTTATAATTAAAGAGATGATGATCATAATAAAGGACATGGTTAATGAATCTAGTGCAGACTACAGATAAAAAAAATACAGAAGAAAAAAAAGGCATAGAAACCATGAATGCCCAACATAGGAAAGAACTATATTCCATAAAACATTCAACAAATATTAAGGAGATTTTAAAATTCTATTGAAAGTATATGCAGTAGAACCAACCAATGTGAAGATAAAATACCAGATCTAGAAGACAAGGTTGTGGTTAGTGATCATCAAATGAAAGACTTCTTAAAAATAGTAAGGGACCATGAAAAATCAACCCAACAGCTGCTAGATGATGCAAAGAATAACATAAGATTAATTGGAATCAATGAAGAGCCAGAAGTTAGCACAAAAAAACATTAAAAAATACTTCTTCACAGAAGTAATAGTAGAGGACCGGGGATATAGCTCAGTGGCGCAAGTGCCTACCTGGCAAGCGCAAGGTCGTGAGTTCGATTCCCAGATACCAAAAAAAAAGAAGTAACAGTAGAAAACATCCCAAGCATGGAAAAAGAATTTGACATACAGATAAGTGAGGCACAGACAATTCCAATTAGCCATGATCAGAAAAAAACTACATCAAGGATGTAAAGAGTCAAGATTCTAGAAATTCAGTTTTGTTTGTTTTTTTGAAACAGGGTCTCACTATGTATTACAGGCTGGCCTTGAACTCACTATGTAGCCCAGGCTGACCTTGAACTCAGCAATCCTCCAGCTTTACCCTCCCAAGTGCTGGTATTATAGGTGTGTGCCACCACCCCCTGGCTATGATTTTAGAAACTGAACACAAGAACAGAATATTAAAAGCTGTTAGAGAAAAGAAATAAATCATCTATAGAGGAAAATTCATCAGAATCACAGTCAACTTCTCAACCCAAACCTTTAAGTCAAGGAGAGCAAAAAGTGAAGAACTGCAAGCCCTAAAAGAAATCAACCTCTAACCCAGATGTATCTATCTCATAAAATTACCTTTCAAAATTAAAAAAAAAAAGATATTTCTATGACAAAGAACACCTGAAGAAATGAAATAGAGTAGTACCACCAAACCAGCACTCCAAAAAGTTCTGAAGGATATTCTAGAAAAAGACAATTCTAAGAACACCAATACAATAAATCCACCAGGCAAGGCAAGCAATTAAATAGAAGGACAAGAAAGGGAATCAACAAGAAAGTAACAGGTTGACATGGATGCATCAATACCTGTAAGTTATAACCATCGATGTAAATGGTCTCAATTCACCCATCAAAAGAAACATACTGGCAGAATGGAACAAAATATCCAAAAATAAGCTGCACATAAGAAACACAACTCAAAAGTAAACTCATAGACTAAAAGTCAAAGGATAGAAAACAATACTTCATGAAACAGAAACCTGGAAAAAAGCAGAAGGAGCTATTCTATTTGCAGACAAAGTGGATTTCAAGCCAAGACTGATAAGAAGACACAAAGAAGATCACTACATCCTTGTAAAATCCAGAGGAAGAGATGCTCATAAATATATATGCAGCAAATACCAGAACACCCAAGTACATAAAACAAACACTAGTGGATATGAAAAATCAGATAAACACTAATACAGTGGTAATGAGGACCCTCAGTACCTCACTATCACAAACAGATCAACTAGACAAAAATATCAACAAAGAAATATCAGAGCGAACTAAACCTTTGAATAAAGGACTAATAGATATCAACAGTGTTCCAGCCAACAAGGGAATACATATTCTCAGCAGCACACAGGACTTTCTCCAAAACAGACACTGTTCTATACTAACAGGTATCCAAACTTGCAGCTGGCATTGAAAGTATCAGCAGCCCCCTTTTATAGACAATCGTCTTAACCTGTGAGTCTGTATAAATTCCTGGTAATTAGTGTCAGAACTCTCAGTGGCTGGAGAATTTGAGTCTTTCTTTTCCTGCCAGAGGCTTATTTTCACCAGCCTTGCCCAGTTTTTATATAGCAATCTTACTTCCTTTGGACCCTCAGGGGAAATGGGCCTCAAACTAAAGCTGGCCTACAGACATTTACTCTAGTTAGGAGAGAACTAATAAAAAGAAATTAAATCAAGAGATTAATAAAAACTCACAAGTATTTTACCTTTGCTAAAACAAGTCTCTGACTAGTTGAGTGTTTCATTATAATATAAAAGTGGTATGGGGAGGCGAAGTGTTGTCATTTCCTTTTCATGGACATATTCAATTATGTATCTAACTGACTCTATTATCATAAATGTAATTAAACTGTTTCAGAATGGCACTACAAAGCCTATGGTTATACCTCAGGCAATGAAAAGCCAAGTATTTAATTCGTCAATAAGCTTGGGGGTGGAAGGCATGGACAGGGATAAAGGTGAGAACCAGGTTAGACCTGAACTGTGGTGGGAACACCATACTAATATTTAAGAGAGCACCTGGTTAGTGATGTTTAAAATGAAATTAAAAAATATAACCTTGAAAGAAACCTGCTGGACCTGGAGTAAGATCTCCAATGCTCATCCACTCTCAGTGGGTGTCAGGATGTCCACTACAGAACTTAGGTCGAATACCTTCATCGTTGGTGGGATGCAAGCGCAAAGGGCTTAGGCACATACTTAACATCTCTAGGCCTCAATTTCCCCACTTAAGAAATGTAGGAAGTATACCATACTGGTATCAGCAAGTGTCAGCCTCAGTGGTATGGCTGGAGAAGCTAGGAGTTACACAACTGGCCCTAATAAAGGGATCACCAGTGCAGATGAGGGCTGCCTCCTCTTCAGCTGCCACCCTGAGCTTGTCACTGTGCTGGTACTCGATCGAGGCCTTGGGCTTACAGTGTCCTTGACTCTTTGTCACTCAAATTTTCTAATACACAGGCTACTACAGAAGACTGGCTTCCTGAACATAAAATCTTGTCCATTTGGAAATTACATCTTGGACTGTTGTGCAACTACTGTAAACAAGATTATGTCTAATGGACACACAAATGAAAGTCTCCAATTTTACTTCCAAATGCCACAATCACTAATGTGAACAGCAAACTGACCTATGTATTCTGTCTCTAACTAATTAAGGTCAGAATAACATTTAAATTAATGTTCAAGGAAAACTAGACATAAAGTTAGTAATGCATTTAATATGATTACTAATGTTTTTCTTGGAATATTTTTATGGTATTAACCTGGGCTAATATCACTGTAAGTCCAAATATATTAAACACACCTTTTACATGAAGGTTTATGTTCTCCTGTTACATAATAATCAACCTGCCAAATGATCTGTGGAGCATCTTCACCAAACATTCAATGTTTTGCATTAAAGTCACAAAAATCAAGTAACTTGGGTATATGTTTACTGTGTGTCAATTTCCACAATGCAGCAATAACAAATAAATTAAATAACATAAATTCAGGTAGCAAAAGATAGAGGTAAGTCTAATTTATTTGGAAATCAAATGGTAATTCTTTTTTCTTCTTGTCACCCTACAAATAAACCTTTTCCATACAGATTTCTACTATGTAAATGTATCTAATACCATAGCAAAGCTTATATTTTTTTCACGTTTAAAACAGGAAGATTGGTTTGCATCTATGTCTCAGGCATTAGGCTAAGCACCTATTGACATGTATCATCTCATCTCATTCTCAAAATACCCAAAGAATCGTTAGTATCATTTTTACTGATAAGAAATGGGAGATAGGAAGCGCTACACAAGTAATCACGTGCAAGCCCAGGCAGTATGACTCTTGGGAGCCCCAGCCCTTAGCCACCACCACTTTATATATTGTCCTCTAAGAATAGTACCATGACCTCCCTTTATCTGTATTAACATTATATGGCAATCAATGTTAAGTTTCTAGGATAGGAAATTAATTCACTACATAATGTAAACTGACAAAAACGGTAGCTGTGGGTAGACATTCAGTGATGATAAAAGACTTATTTTACATATGTTGTATATCAGATGAACCCCTAAAAATTTTAACTGATTAAATCATGATTAAAACTCCCCACACTTCAAGTTACAGTTAAAATACTTACCTCAATCAATTTGTTGGCATGTTCACGAAAAACTTGGGCATATTCCTTAACTTCTTTCTCATTTCCATTTTTCGCAGCTTCAATCAATACTAAAAGTGGAACATTGGTTTCCAGGAAGGAATCTGAAACGTGGTCCATGACAGCTTTGCGGAGCTAATAATTAAATTGAATAAATTTGATTTTATTTCTACCAAGAAGCTAGCCCTTTTTCTCTTGTACTTCTAAATCTAATGGAGGTCTACAGCAGATTGGCTGCACTTATATGAGGGTCTCTCGTGTAAGCAATGTCATTACATGACCTACAATGCAGGAAACATAATATCGTGGAGACTGTACTTTGTCCTATGTTTACAGCATTTCAGCAATACAATAGAGTCTCAGTTTTTAAGACAATACTCTTCTGGGGAGAATTACAAAACTAAGCCTTTACCTTAAAGGAATAATAAAAAGCTGAACAAAAAGCAATGAATGAAGAGAACTTTTTGCAAGTTTATCTAAAGGGGTTCAGGGCTCAAACCATGAACATTGAAACTTAAAAAGGTTATCTTCATGAACTTTTTTTGTGGGGCTGCTGGAGATCAAACTCAAGGCCTCATATAGGCTGTCCTGAGCTATACTTTCAGCCCCAGCTTTCTAAACATTTTTAAATACTGCTGCACTAAAAGGAAGTTAAATAAAGATACATTTAACCTTTAATTTTGCTTTGTGTAAGATATGAGAATAAAATGTCTCTTGGATGATTCTTGGCTATTTTCTAAATTATTGTAACTTTTCACCTCTTCATTGTTTTATAAATTCAACTCTAAATTCTTTAAAGACTAAAATTAAATTTAATTTTAAAATGCTAAAGGGATTTTTTTTTAAACATCAAGAACAAATCCTTTATCTTACCAAACATGGAAGAATACAGCACCACAAATATCTCTATATTGATCATATTAAGCTGGGAGCACAACTCCACCCATGGTCTAAGGGAACTACAAGTGTTTAATCGGAATGGGGCAAGTCAAATAAGTAATTATGGATTTCTGTCTCTACTGTATGTGAGCCAATATAACAAAATCCTTCAAGATTATTTTCACAGGTTCCCAAGTCATTTTATTTTATTTTTTAAAATTTTTTTGGTCTTTTTGAGACAGGGTCTTGCTATGCAGTTCAGACTGGCCTCGTGCTCACTTTGTAGCCCACTCTAGTCACCAACTCGCAACAATCCTCCTGCCTTAGCCTCCCAAGTGCTAGGATTACAGGCATGTGCCACCATGCCTGGCCCCCAAGTCATTTTAAATTGAATTTCCTACCTATACATCCTTTCACACTTAAAGTATCCCAGTGGGACTGTGCTATCCCATGTCCCTAAGAAAGTTTTAGCCACTGAGAAGCTTATTAGCAACAAAACATGGATAGCCATTTTTCTATGAAAACCTATTCTTTCCCCCAAATAAAATAAGCCTAGTATTTATTAGGATTTTAATTAAAACCTCAAAAATGGAGAACTTAGAAAAGCAATCAGTACTTTCTTCCAACTTACCTGTCTACGCAAGTCCCTGGTTTTCTTTGTCATTTTATCTATTGCAGAATTGAGTGCATCACTTCTTTCTTTACGTCCAGCCTGGATAAAAAGTAAAGAGATACACATTTCAGTAATTTACAAGGAATCTTAATGATATTCTATAGCTATTTAGTGCTCAAGTCAACAGTGAAAAAAAGAGTACAGCTTTTTTAGCCCCAATTTGGAAAATATGGGGGCAGAGGAATTTTACGTGGATTTGTTCATGACCCTTTCCTTGCCTCTTCAATCCTTAGACTCCATATCACCTGATGAATGGAGTTGAAAGCTTTGCCAAAATAAGAGAAACCAAGAGACCAGGCACGGTAGCCTGTAAGAAATCTCAGCACTTGGGAGGATGACGCACAAGGATAGCTTTGAGTTTGATGCCAGCCTTGACTATATAGTAAATTCAAGGCCTGCCTGAACTACACAGCAAGACCCTGTCTCAAACCAACAAAATGTGTATTATATAACTCAAATCAGACTGCTTTATGAAATTACTTCAGCTACATTTTTCAGATTTCTAGGTTAAGGTTAGTGCAACTGTACAGCATAAAAAAAGAACATATTAGCCACTCTTGGAGAGGTGTGTAAATCACCATTTCTTCAGAGGTCCAGGAGTTAAATTGAGATTTGCCTAGGTAATACTCAAAGCAGGGGAGAAAAAAACCCTCATAAATGGTAGTTGAAAGAAAAAGGACAAGGGCTGTTATCCCAGGTCCAGCTAGTTATATCCCTGGAAATACCTTAGAGAGATATAAACTGCTAAATATGAAGTACATTAAAAATTCATTTTCACAAAACCAATGTGACTCCTTCTGTAAAACATGTTAGTAATCAAGATAAAAACAAAGGAGGGCTGGGCAAACAGCTCAGTGACACAGTGCCTGTCTGGCAAGTGCAAGGTCCTGAGTTCAAATCCCAGTACCCCCCCCCCACCAAAAACCCCACCGCCAACAATAAAAACAAAGGCATTTAATCCAGTATTCTTCCTTTGGGGTACCACTGAAACATTGTGATTCGAGTGTGTTATCCGTACACAAACCAACAGTACAGATGAATGGGTAGGTGTTATGGTTTATATCTAAAATGTTCCCCAAAGCTCCACCTATGAGTGTGTGAGGATAGGTGGGGTTTTTTCCTCCCTGCTTAGTTTGTTACCTAGGCAAATCTCACACACTCATAGGTGGGGCTTTGGCGGAAGTGACTGGATCATGGCTGTGTGACATGCATCACTGGATTAGCCCACTAATAGGTTTATAGCTGGATGTGAGGTTGAGAGTGGAAGCCTGGTAGGAAGTGGACCTGGATAGCTATAGATATATTGCATATCCCTCCTCTTCTTCCTCCTCCTTCCTTGGTCTCTTGCTGCTTACTGCCTGCCACACCACTCTGCCATGCCACCCTGCCTTGGAACCAGCCAACTGTGACCTAAACCTCTACAAACTGTGAGCCAAATACACCTTTTCTCCTTTAATTTCAGGTGTTGGGTAGTGTATCTTGGTGACAAGAAAGTAACTAAAGACAGTGTTGGCAGTGATCTGGTTGTATGTTTCTGTATACTTTTTATGTAATTTGTTGTTCACTTATCTCCTTTTAAGTAGGTACAAAAACACTTGCTCTGACTCCTTCTCTATGGACTATTAGAGGGGGGGAAAGGACTGTAAGTTTTTCTTAGCAAAGGAAAGAAAAGCAAAGAGAGGGGACTTAATATGAAAGGTTGAAATTTAAGTGATATATTCATAAAGTCACTATCAAACCTTGTCAGAGTCTCCTTTCTTACCTTTTCCCCAATACTTCTATTCACCAAATAAAATTAAGCACTGTAGTCCACTGGTATTAATGGGGGAGAGGAGCAGCTCAACAGAAACTGATTCAGGTATGAGGATTACTATCTACAGAAATAAAGTGGGACTTCTTCAGGCCACTGGTCACAGGAGAACTTAATTTATAATCTCAAGATCAAAACATTAGGATCTAAGACAAAGGAATCTAAAACCGAATCAAAAATCAAACTGATCCATAATTAATGCTTCAATCTGGGAAGTCTCCACCAATTCCTTAGTGTTATGGTTGATATACTGTGTCAACTTGGGGAGTCTAGAGGTTTGGCTAAGTGACTCAGTAGGAAGCCAAGGTGCTTACTTTGTATACATCCTGAGCCTGTGGAAGAGGAGGGCATGGAGATTATGTGAGAGCTACAGGCCCCTTAGGTTTTACAGTGTAAGGGAGGGAAAGAGACTGCTTGCTGCAATTGGTCTGGCTGCTTTGCTGTTTGGCTGCCATTCCCCCTTTGCTCTTGTTGTTTTGTTATCTTCTGCCTCCGAGCCAGCCAAGTATGGACTGTAACCTCCACAAACTGTAAGCTAAATAAACCTTTCCTTCCTTAATTTTGGGCACTGGGTATTTTGTCTCAGCAATGAGAGAAAAGTAACCAAGACACTTAGGTACTCAAGGACTTCAAAATAATGTCTCCAAATACTAAAGCCTGAAATTTAGAGACCATCACTCTGAACAAACTCAGCCACCTACTTCAAGAAAAAGTCTCTAAATGAATTGTTCCTGGCCATATTTTAGGATGTTTGTACTCATCTGTTTCAGAAATATCTGGAATCCAAAACCCAAAGGTGAGGATCATTGATCTCATAACAGTCTTAGTCCCTGCCCAGAGTTTCCTCAATTTGCCCATAGTTTCCTCAATTTGGGCAGAGGGATTTACTGTGAAAGTATGTAGAACCAAACCTCTGAGATATTTACAGTTACACAGGAAAATTCACTTTAAGAATAAGGCAACCCTTACAATGAATCTGTTAATTCTGCCTTTACCAAAGCACCCTAAAAATCCATTGTCTTTCTTGGTACTGTGGGAAATCGAAGTTTATGCCTCATTAATGGGGGGCAGGGGAGGGCAGTTCAGAAGGAGTTATTTACTAAAACTGTTACACTACACACACCACTTTTAAGTCAATATATCCCTTCATTTAAAAAAACTCTAAGCCAAATACCAAGTTTGAAGTTCCAATCATTTAAAATAAGGATAATTGCACATACACATATGTACAACCTTGAGCTTGATAAAAGTAGAGGGCGTACTGATTTGTAAATCAAGGTTTTACTTCTCTTGAAATTAAAGTTGTTCTAAGTTTTTGTTTATCATTTTATTAAGGTAAAAATAAAGTTACTCAAAAAACATTAGGAAAAGCAACCCCAGAAAACAAAGGTTGAATATCCCTTATGTGAAATTAACATCTCAAATTTTTCTTCTTGGAATATTAGTATAGACTTTTTTGAGAAAAGTTTTGTATTTCAGAGAATTTTAGATTTGAGATTTTCAAATTATGGATATATGACTTGTGTTACTCAAAGTTACAAGAAACTTTAAATAAATGATTTTTTACTCAGCTCTCACCCAATTCAGAAACTCCAATTCCTGAGCCACCCAGCTTCACTTAATTTTGATGTATGTATCTCTGCTTAGCAGTGACAAAGGGCTTTCTAAAAAACAAGATAAGACTTCAACATGAAGCTTCTCTTTAGCAAGTAAATATCAGTTGAGCAAAAGTTACTAGCTTAAGCAGCCTCTAGCAACAAAACTATGACATACTGAAGGAGTTTCAAAACCATGTGTAACAGAAGAATGAAAAGTACACTCTGCTCCAGTGCAGCCAGAATAATGTTTATGTAGACAAACCCTTAACTGAATTTTATCCTTGGAATGGACAGGAATGACCACAACACCTGTTTCAGAGGGCTTATACATTGAAGTAAAGTAATTCAGAATAACTTCCTTTATTATGCGGAGCCTAAAAAGAGTTACTAATAACATAATACGAGTCAATACTAAGTAAAACTGACACAAAGAAGAGGTCATATTACAAAATTCTTCGACTGTAACTCCAACCCTTGCAAAAGGAAGGGATGAGATATGTAATGGGATGGGGGGGCTCCTGGTACTGCTGGAGGCATTTTAATTCCTCAATGATGTGACAAAGGTTTCAGGTGAGCCTACCAAAAACTGCTCAATCTAACTGCATGCTTGGGGGCAGGGGATACTCTAAATTGAAGAGCTGTACTTGATCTCCTGAGGGCTTTTCGGCCAAAGGCTTTCTTGTCCTAAACTCTGTGAGAGAACACAGCTATTACTCTAATGGCAATGGTCACTCTGCCATCTTCTTCCATGCTGTGATTCATCCACATGCATTCTGGTCATTCAGATCTATCTCTATCTCTATCTCTATCTCTCTCTATCTCTCTCTCTATCTCTCTCTCTCTCTCTCTCTCTCTCTCCAGCCTGGAATACGCCTCTAACTCCTATCTATCCCTTCAATGAGACATGAATTCCTTGTCTTGGAAGCTTCCACTGACCAAACTAAGCTCAAGTTGAATACTTCTCCACAGTATTCCCACAAAGTCCTCCTCCTCAAATCACACCTTAGGATAATTATCTTTTGCCTTTGTTTCTTTCCCATCAGACGGATGAGATGAGGACCTGGCAGGCCAATTAGAGACATGTTTAAAAGTCATAGGACTTACTGTGCCATTCTTCTGCTTTCTTGTCATTAGTGAAAATGCAAGACTTTTCAAACAACACCAAATACTGCTTTCTATTCTTATTTTAATCTGGAGAGGATAGGGCAAGAGGGTTAACTCCAATGTTTTAACCCCGAAACTTGTAAAAAGGAGACAGCGAGTCTTCTTTAATTTCACAGGAAAGTCTAATTACATACAGTGACTTTATCAGCCATCAGAAAAATTAAAATTAAATTAAACTAGCATTTTACAAGACCTGAGTCTTTGCCAGGCATGGTAGCTCATGCCTGTAAATTCAACACTATGGGATGCTGAGGCAGGTTGCAAGTTTGAGTCCAGCTTGGGCAATTTAGCAATTTAATGAGACCATGTCTCAAAATAAAAAACAAAAACGGCTAGAGATGTAGCTTAGTTCAAAGGCCATAGGTTCAATCCCCAGTGAAAACACACACACACCTTTCTGAGTCAGAATGGGCATCTGAAACCTCCTCCCAGGAAGGAATAGAGCAGAATCTACATCTCCGGGTAAAAAAGGGAAATGTGGAGACTGTCAACAACACAGCAAGGGCCTGGAATAAAGCAAGGGTTGTAGAACTTCAGAAAAGAAGTGGCATCAAAGCTAATGATGAGCTAGAGAAGACTTCCAGGGAAGAATAAAGACTTTAAGGAGAACCTTCAGAAAACTTTTGGAAAACCTATTAAAGAATCAAGTCGTATCTTTCTGAAAGTAGGATTTATTAAAAGGCTTGGTTTGGACTGGGTAACAGCACATTGTTGTGCAGTATACATTTGATGAACAATATGAGAAACAGTTTTACTCCGGCTGTTGTGCTTGTCACAGAAGGAAGACAGGCACTGCCTATAAGCTGAGTATTTAAACACAAGTCATTGGGAGCCTCTGGTAAAACTCAGTATCTTAATTTTGAAAATACAATGGTTATTTAGACTGTTGTTCCAAAATTTCTTTTAAGGTGAACCTTATCCTTAAATTACAAAAAGCGGAATAGTTTCTATTGTACCTAATGTTACCAATCTCAATTTTTTTTAAATAGATGAGGCATTCTAATATTACATAAACATCACCTCTTTCCCTTCTACTTCACCTCATAGAGAACTCAGAAACGAATGTTATACTTCAGGTATTTTCTTAGATGAAAGCGCCACCTTTACCAAAAACCATTCAAAAACAAATAACGTGAAGAAATATTTGTAAAATATATGGCAAAATTAATTTCTTACATAAGAAACAACATATGAATCTTTAAGAAAATTACCAAAACTGGGAGCAAGGAGTAGGAATGAGGAAATGCAATGTGTAGTCTACAAGAAAATGCCAGTATCTATACAAAATGTTGAATCTCACTCATCCTGAAAGAAAAAAAATCAAAGAGAGTATTTTTTAATCTATCAGATTTATAGATATTTTGATATCTGACGGCTTCCTATATTGTATTAATGACAGAGAGGAGTGCATAATTACAGAGTAGGATCAGGGTAAAGAAAATAGTTTAAAACTTTCTGGAAGGCAATGTTCATCCATTTTATATATACATACCCTGTAACCCAGTTATTTCATTGCTGGGACTTTACCTTATATATAAACTTTCCTAAGGATAAAAGATGTTAAAAGGGTATTTAATTCATATTATCTGCAAAAGCTAAAACCTCCAAAAATTATATTCAGTAAATGAAGAATACAGCCATACAAGGCAAAATCAAACTCATTACATAGGCAGACAGCAAGGCAGATAGGCAAACAGGCAGAAACTACATACAGACAGGTGGAACAAGCATCAGGACAGAACCATCTGTCCTGGAAGAGGAGCTTTATCCCACTCTGCCCTCAAGCCCTGGCAATCCCTCTTCCAGTGATGTGCACAACAGGTATCAACATCACAAAAAGTAGATATAAACCCTTCATAATAAGAAATGATCTTGTTCTCTTTGGGCCAAAATTTTCATTTCCTCTGCACTAATGATAGGGGGGGGGGCTCAGTATACGTCACTATACCTACACCCCAGAGCCTATTAATGAAGGTTCTCAGAAAATAGTATTTCAAAGCTTCAGCAACCAAGAATGCTAGCATCTAGTCAATATACACGCAAATGAACCCCTTTAACCAAGTGGGTCAGAAAGTCCACTAAAATGAACAGCACAAATGGGTATCTCACCTCTTCATTCCACGCTGAGCAAATGGCTCTGTATGACCCATGGCAGTCTGGGCAATACAGTGAAATCTTGTCTCTTACTTAAAATCAAAACCACAGATGACAATGAAAATGATAACTTTCCACTGCCTCTCTGGGCAATTTTCCCTGCCCACAAGTCTGTTATACCAGCACTACAATAATACAGTTTAAGTAATTTCCATATATAAGAGGTAGGCCAAGCAGATTATAAAGTAGAAAGGAACCAAGAGTTTAAGGAGGAGGAGATGCTTTCCTTTTATATTTTCACATACAACTATTCCTAATTGTGGTTGGGCTAATGCAACTAACTCATGTTTTTCTCCCCATGGAACCAAAGCAGTTACTAGAGGGAAGATTTTAATCTGGCTACTGCACTGCAAACGGTTTCTTCACTAGAGGGTGGCTATCTTCAATAAGCTATTTACAACATCTCATGAGCTTATTTTTGATTTGAAAAATAAAACAAAACTAAAATAAACCGCTGTATGAGACACACATACCTCCCCAATTTGGGGCGAGCTCAATGTCTCTGAAATCAAGGGTCACAGACCATGTAGGAATCTGCTTAAACCTAATCCATAGAAAAATGAACAAGCAGCAAAATTTCACAAGCCCATCTATGGACCCAGGTTAAGAACACCTGGCCTAGCAGGGGTGGTGGTGGTGGTGGTGGTGGTGGTGGTGGTGTGTATTTGTGGTCCCAACACTTGGGAAGCTGAGGCAGGAGAATTGTTGCCTGTTTGAGAACAGCCTGGGGTACATAGTGAGGTCAAGGCTGGCCTAAACTACATACTGAGACCCTAGCTCAAGATCCCCCTCCTCTCCAAAAAGAATATCTGGCTTATAGAGGAAAACTACAGGAACATCAAAGTCAGTGGGAGAGTGGCACTAGAGTCTAGAACGTTATCCCCCTCCTTTTGCTAAACCAGCACCATGAAGGAACGCAGTAGGAGTACTAGTGCAGGCTTATTGCTAAGTGCACAAGCAGAAGAATCTCACAGGCTACTGTGCTTCAGGACTTCTGCAGCCAGTGAAACTATCTAAGAACAGCACTGTACCCTGACTGTCCATGTCAATAATTTTCTTTCCTTCTCTTCCCCCTTAATGGGCATCACACAGGCCTTGTGAGCTTAAGACATATGGCCCTCAGACATTCCTACTGTTTTCTCTTTCCCTGATACTTTCCTATGCATTTACCCAAATAAATCTCATGTACTTTTAAGTTCATCTTGGGGTCAGTTTTAGGAGAATTTAAAATTCACACCTGCATTACTAGAGCTTCCACAGCACCTTTACACATGGTCCTAAGGAAGGAACCCGCGAGTCTGCCAAAACACCACTTTTACCCCTTTAGACAAATACTTTATGTGTAGAGGAGTGTAGGGGATTAAACCCATGGCCTTACACATGCTAAGAAAGCACTCTATTACTGAGCTACATCCCTAGCCCTTTTGTTTTATTTTGAGGTAGGGTCTTGCTAAGCTGCCCAAGCTGGCCTTAAATTTGTAATCTGCTGCCTCAGCCTCCCAAACTCTGGGAGTTAAAGGCATGCACTACTGCTCCAAGCTTAAACAATGCCATTTAGACTTATCTGTTGTAATAAAGCCCTCAGAAGCAAATAGGCCAATATGTTCTTATTTCCCAGATTCCATCAGTAGTTTTGAGATTTCTGCCCCTGGGTCTGAGATACGAATTACTAGGATAAGTGACAATGGTATGGGGAAACATAGGTATGCAGGATCAAATCAATAAGGCAAGATGAGCAAAAGGCCTTACTTTAGACAAGCATGAGAATATGAGGTTGACAAATGCCAGAAACATCTTTTGCATTCTGTAAAATATTAAATCAAGCTGTACAGTCCTATCTGAGGCCTACTAAATAACGACACAATCTGAGAGGGAGAAGTTTGTGTTAGGTCAAGCAAAAACAAGACAATGTGATCCTATCTCAAAGTATGAGGGACCTTTCTTATTTATAAGAAGTTCCAAAGAGAGCTAGTATGAGAGTCACACTTAGTTCTTAAGTGTGCAAATAGGAGCTAGTTTGCAAGTGCTGTATTATTTCAGTGCCACAACCCCCAAACTTGGCGTCAGCTAAGGTTTTTAGTTAAGGAGTAGGGGAGATGGTGAGGAAAATAAAGGGGACCATGTCAGAATACAGCCACACTGCATTACTTGTCTGAAATCATCTCTGCTCCACTGTTAACCCTTGGGTCATGTGTATTTAAATGACTACTTCTACCTGTGCTTTTCTCCTAGCAGAACATCCAAAAATCAACTCATCATTATTTTTCAATCAGCATGGTATAAACCATTATTATAAAATAGGACAGAGAAGGAAAAATATTTTGCACTGGAGTTCTACTGAAATTCTCTAAGAAAAAAAAAATAACAAAATGTTTTCTGGGGGACTCTCTCCCCCTTCTTCCCCCACCCTTTATTCTTGGTTTAAGATATTATGTTCATAAGGACAAAGGAGCCAAGATTACTTCATTTACCAACACATCTAATCCATAATATACTTCGATTTTTACCAAGCATGAGAACACAGCAACTGAGTAGTAGCTTTGCAAACTACCAAAGAAGCACCACTACCTTGCACAGGCTGATGTTAAATCAGCACTTCATAAATCAATCGTGCAGGCTTCTGCCCATTTAGATGATCTATCTCTACGCAGAATCGGTCTAACACTGGCTCCCACATGCATTAAAAATCATCACTCTGCTAGCCCAACTCACTGTTCAGACGGGTCTTCTTGAATGCAGCCTTTATTACAACCTCACTGCTGCTTCCTACACTGAAGGAATACCATGTTAAGTCAGGAGATCTTCTTTCTTGCTTTATTGTAATCAGGGGAGGGCGGGGGTCTTGCAATGACCCCAATACTGTTAAAAAGCACTGTGCTTTTTAACAGTAAAGCTTCTGGAAAACCCAAACAAAAGACACGTCACCCGGTGACGTCAGCCTATATACAGTTCTGTGTGGTCGCAGCACATAAGCAAATCCATTCTTGTGCCGTTTCTCGGAAAGGCTTTTCAGTAAATGCACTCATGCTGCTCCAGGAGCTCTTCTCTGCAACAAGCCGCCCATCTGCCATCAACAAGTTAAGACCAAGAGAACTAACGGCTGCGGAAAGAAGAGACTGAAGCTTTGATGACCAGCAGCAGTTAGAGGAGGAGAAAATTAATAACTTATACTGAAAACCTATTTAGGAGATCAGAGCATCACAAAAAATGAAACCAACGCTTTCCAGAGGAATATCCTAAGGAAAAAACAACTCACCCTGACGGATTCAATTTTACTGGGAAATCTGGGGACACAGAACAGAAAACCGATCAGAGGCTCCTGCATGTTAGAGCCTTTTACAGACTCACTGCGTTGAGTCTGACCACCTCGACTGAATGCAGCCTCCAACGTGCTCAGAAGAATGGGTAAGTCCATGCATTTATATGTTTTGTATAGTCAACAAGGAATCACGCTTTAAAAATAAGCCACGGAATTCACATTTTCTGAGAGAAATCACTGTCACATTTTTGGGTTTAGAGGTTTAGGTAAATGCATATACTGCTAACGATAGGGGTATGTTTTATCTTCTTTTTAAATGGTTTGAATTGTGTTCCAGAGATTATAAACAAGGTTAATTTTTCTGCAGTAAATGAAAAGTTACATTGCAGTGAAATCTTTCACCATAATGTTATGTTGTGTTTAATAGCCCATATGTTCTGCTGAAAAATATCCTATCTTCTTGTTTTCCTTAAATTATATTCTGCAGGCTTACATTTCAAGTGGCCATTAGGGGCCCCTATGCTGGCAGCAATATATGCAATGAGTATGGTTTTAAAAATGCTGCCTGCCCTGGGTATGGCGTGTCCACCCAAATGCCGCTGCGAGAAGCTGCTATTCTACTGCGACTCTCAGGGCTTCCACTCAGTGCCAAACGCCACAGACAAGGGCTCTCTGGGCCTGTCCCTGAGGCACAATCACATCACAGAGCTTGAAAGAGATCAATTTGTCAGCTTCAGTCAACTTACTTGGCTCCACTTAGATCACAATCAAATTGCAACAGTAAAAGAAGATGCTTTCCAAGGACTATATAAACTTAAGGAATTAATCTTAAGTTCCAACAAAATATTTTACTTGCCAAACACAACTTTTACCCAACTGATTAACCTGCAAAATTTGGACCTGTCTTTTAATCAGCTGTCATCTCTGCACCCAGAACTCTTCTATGGCCTTCGGAAGCTGCAGACCTTGCATTTACGTTCCAACTCCCTGCGGACTATCCCAGTACGCCTGTTCTGGGACTGTCGTAGTCTGGAGTTTCTGGATTTGAGCACAAACCGTTTGCGAAGTTTGGCTCGCAATGGATTTGCAGGATTAATCAAACTGAGAGAGCTTCACCTAGAGCACAACCAGCTGACGAAGATTAATTTTGCTCATTTCCTCCGGCTAAGCAGTCTGCACACACTCTTCTTACAATGGAACAAAATTAGCAACTTGACATGTGGGATGGAATGGACCTGGAGCACTTTAGAAAAGCTAGACCTGACTGGAAATGAAATCAAAGCCATCGACTTGACAGTATTTGAAACGATGCCTAATCTTAAAATACTCCTCATGGATAACAACAAGTTAAATAGTCTTGATTCCAAGATCTTGCACTCCCTGAAATCCCTCACCACTGTTGGCCTCTCTGGCAATCTGTGGGAATGCAGCCCCAGAATATGTGCTCTTGCCTCCTGGCTGGGCAGTTTCCAAGGTCGGTGGGAACATTCCATCCTATGTCACAGCCCTGACCACACCCAAGGAGAGGATATCCTAGATGCAGTCCATGGATTTCAGCTCTGCTGGAACTTATCAACCACTGTCACTCCCATGGCTACAACTTACAGAGATCCAACCACTGAATATACAAAAAGAATAAGCTCATCAAGTTACCATCTCGGAGACAAAGAAATCCCAACTACTGCAGGCATAGCAGTTACTACAGAGGAACACTTTCCTGAACCAGACAATGCCATCTTTACTCAGCGGGTAATTACAGGAACAATGGCTTTATTGTTTTCTTTCTTTTTTATTATTTTTATAGTGTTCATCTCCAGGAAGTGCTGCCCTCCTACTTTAAGAAGAATTAGGCAGTGCTCAATGATTCAGAACCACAGGCAGCTCCGATCCCAAACACGACTCCATATGTCAAACATGTCAGACCAAGGACCGTATAATGAGTATGAACCCACCCACGAAGGACCCTTCATCATCATTAATGGTTACGGACAGTGCAAGTGTCAGCAGCTGCCATACAAAGAATGTGAAGTATAATATCTACCCGTCATCAAAACTCACATCAGATAAGTAATCTATTTTACATAGTAGGGGGCTAAATACATATCTAATTTTTACCAATGGTGACATTAAGCCTAATTTTCCAAACCAAGTGGAGACTTAGTTTTTGAAGTGTTGAAGTATTTTTAATTTTTTAATGAAACCATATTTTAAGTGTTTAATGAAGCATTGCTCACATTAACTTGCACTCTTGTTGGAAAGTCTAAAATGCTTCAAAATAAGACATGTCATGTATGTAATTATATACTATTGTGTGTAAACATTTACACTAAGGTCTCCATTTGCTATTATTTTCTAATGAAAATAGTCAGGAAAGAAGCTACTGAACAGAAACAGATATAGATCAATACCTGTTTGATCATTGCTCTCCATCTCATGTAACACACTGGCTTGCTGCGAAGTTCTCTTGTATAATATGGTATTTACTCAAATCTATAATACTGCCAGTGTACGAAGCAGAATTATATGTATGCTAAAGACTGGTAAATACTGAACATTCTTCCTCCAGAATTTTTGCCTGATTTAGTAGACATTATCAAAGTCCACATCATGAAATCAGCAGTCTTTATATAACGCTAATAAGTTGAGAGACTATTTAATATATTTAAACAATGATCCAAGTGATTGTAAAAAAAAAAGTCTCATTACCATGAAATCAATACTAAATAATTACACTAACTTCTTCTCATACACCTCTAATTTGACACATAATGGAAATGTTGCCTTGTGGCATTTATACTATTTTAAACTAGTATTAAATTACCATTTTACTAATTAATTTACTAACTCCTATATTTACACTTATATGTGGAAAAAATTAGAACTTATTTGGGAGAGAAAAGAGATAAACTGAGCCAGTTTAACAATACTGACATCTTCCTTTCAGTTTGCAAACTCTCTCTCCTCCTTCCCAGCCTCTGTCATGATCCATCAAAGGCTGCCTTGACAAAGGGGTTAAACCACTTTCTTCTGCCTTTTTCTGATTTTTAAGTCTTTAAAGAGCCAAATTAAAAATAATTGGCTAGCAACAGGCACAATCTTGATTATTGTTATAATATAAAGGAACCATGAAAAAATCATTTTCTAAATGTTATATGCTAAATTTTGACCTTTCAATAAGGATACCCATCCTCATTGTGTGGTTCTTTCTAAGAGACAGAAAGAACGTATCACTGAAGTGAATCTTATGTAGAACATTCAACATGCCTATTTAGCTACACAGCAGTAAATGGAAGGCAGCACGAAGGTAAGAGGATGAAGACCAGAGAAAGATTTTTGAAACCTCGCTCTGGTTAGCTGAAGTTATTAAGCAGCGAAGAATGATCAGACACAATCTGCACAGACAGGGCAAAGCTCTGGGACCTGTGCTGAAACGGGAAGAGGGGGAGGTTCTCCAGTGTAAATAGAAACATCCCATAATAATAAGTGGTGACAATGCCACATTTTCATGCAGAAAAGAACCATAAGTATCAATTTCTTCTATGATTTTTATGGGAAAACTATGACATATTTGGGACTTGTATGTAAGTTATCAATTCATACAATTTTTCTACTAAGAAGGTTCTGTGTATGTGAAAAACTAAAATTAGAGCACTAACTTGATTTCAAGGGAAAAAAAAATGGACATTTTTGCAACTGTCATTGTATGTGAAAAGGCATAAATCCTCAGAGGAGAGAAGAAGGGAGGAAAGAGAGACAGAGAGAGAGAGAATCTTTTCCTTAACCTGTATGTAAATGTTCTATCCTTCATTCAAGGCATATTTTCTTTCCCAAGATTAAATTGAAAACATATTATGACTATAGTTTAGCCCATAAGATTTAATTATGAGTTTCATAATACTGCAAAGAGTATGTATATTTCAAAAATAATGTGTCTCAGTACCGTGAAAATATGCTCTACATTTTTTAATGTAGGTAGATTAGTTTGGCAAAGCCTCAGCCCAGTTCAATTTGCTTGATCTTAGGTGGTGCCATTTCATCTCCTGTTACAGCAGACTTTTTGGGCTTGCCTGAGCAGAGGCAGATTTTCTGGCATGGAGTGCATGCAGTGCAATACTTCCCCACAGAGGGACAGGATCAGAAGCCCCTATTACAAATGAGAGCTCCATGGGCTAAAATTTACCAACCCATTTATCAGGGTGGCCACAGCCATTTGTCAGGTGAGAAAGAACTGGTTCACAATACAACTTTGAGCACACAAGGTTCCATCAGCCCTGAACAATAGCAGAGGAGTGTTCTCATCATTTCAAACCACACCAAAATTTTTTTAAAATTTTGAGTAGAAGGGTAAGAAATATAAAATGGGAATCCCTACAGTAGTCCTAAAGGACACAGTTAGTAAAATGGACCATTAATTGGCAAAATCCTTAATGTATGTGGAAAAGCAAGCCATTTAGTAATTCAGAGGGAAGAGCACTGTCAAGGGCACAGAGGCATACTTTTCAGTTGAAAAATAACTGATTTTTGTTGCCCTCTACATTTTTCGTAATGCCCTCTGAGAAAAGTGAATGACAATGGCAAACAGGTATTTTCCTTTCTCATTTAAAGCACAAACTACCTTTTTAACTGCCTCTAGAAGGCAGAGTTCCATCTAATTGTTGCCTATTTGTATTTCAGTATTAGCACAGGTTTTAAAATGAGATGCTAGTCATCTGTGCTCTCTTTACCAGGGTGGAGAACTGGCCAGGGTGGAGAAGCATCACAGAGCACTGCAGATTCTGGTTACCACAGCAGGGTTGTTAGTTTTTTGGTGGGGTTTTATCCTCTTTTGTCATCACCATCCCCGTTTTCAAGGTTAGAGGAAAATGACTATCAAGAAGCAGAGAAACAACCACTTTCTTGGGAACACGGAAGGCTAAAGAAGGCTATGATAACTGTATCTACCTAGGAACCAAGAAATAGAAAATAGTTTGCAGTTGTTTCTACTCATTTCTGTAGCTTGTCAGGGATTTCTCACCTTTCTGGAAAGAGAGTGGGCTTGTAAATTTGCAAATCCACAAACAATTCTGACTTACTACCAGCATCAAAAAGCAAAGATACTAATTTTTAAGCCAAAAATCTGTACTAACACATGTAATTTCTTAATGTGCCTTAGTTAATTTCTGCACCAATTCAATGAATGGGATTGACTGAACTTCCCAACTCCACTAATTATTAAAATCCATCTGCTTATTCTAATGCTAGTCACCAAGAGCTAGACTCCATCTTCCCAATAAAAATGAGCCCTATGCAGCAGTAGGTCTAGATCCCCAAACACAGAACATAAGTATCATTTTCTTAAAGCATACTTCCTACACACAGCTATCAGGGGAAAATAGCTATAAATTCTCATTTCTTCTCTCTTCCTCTCTCTCTGAAGTATAAATAGTAAAAAAAAAATTCTTCTTTAAAGAATATTTGTAACAGCTGACTTACATGATCATGTTCCTAATACAGCAATACAGTGACAGACCTATCTGGAAAATCTGTTTTGGGACACACTTTTCATATCCCATTGGCTAAAGTGCTTGAGCCAGAAAAAGTGAAAGACAAAGAAGGCCATCCATGCACAATTAATAATTTTTCTCTAATCTTGGGCAAATTCATAATATTTGAATAAGGCCAAAAACAAACAGAAAATGATTCCTTAAGCTTTCATTCTGCTACTGCAAACATCTGGAAACCTCTGCAACTCCTTCAACTAACATTTTTTTCCTAGATTTTTTAAAAAAGCCTAATATATGGAATGTTTGGTGAATTTATCAACACTGAGACTTGAAACTCCAAGTACAGTCCAAACACATTGTGTTCAATCACCTTCAAGAGCCATGGGGGGGGGGCAGATGGGTTAGGGTGGGAAGAAAATACTGTTAAAGGGACATCATGGGGGGTAACAGTAAGTACGGTGTACAGGAAGTTTTGCTATTAAAACTGTGTGTACTGTAAAAAGTGAAGGTCTCTTTTTTCACTCTTCCCCAATAACTGATCAATGCTGACGTATGAAGACTGAAAACCCACTTGTGACAGATGAGAAACTAAAATGTTATGTGTGGTGTTCCTCTACAAAGTCAGATGTGTCTATTGAAAGAAGGCAGTTAGTCACCTATCTTTATTCAAAGGCAACACCAGGCTGAAAAGTGGTGAAGGGGCACCTCTTATGCAGTAAGAAGCTGTTGTGCCACAAGCCTTCACGAGTGGATGGAAAGTAGGGCTCACAGCCCTGGGATTGGCTGCTCCTCTCCTCTCCCAATCCTCTTGCACAATAGCCTGCCAACCAGTTACATGTACCTAGCAAGCCCCAGTACTTGCTCGGGCAGATGACATGATCACCTGACACCACTCCTGGGAAGCCAACAGATGCTGAACCACGCTGGGACCATGATGGGCCCTTTATGACCCGCTCTGCCTTGGAAGCCAACTCTTGGGTACGGACAGGAAAACAAAGGAAAGACATTAACTAGTATGCTTCAGGTGATAGATAAAAACACCGTAAGCCAGGAAGCTATGTCTGGGCAGCTTGGGGACAGAAACTGTCCTGTCTTCCAGGAGGTGACTGCTAAGAGTCTTCCATACTTGCCAGGATTCCCTTCCTGCATTCTGGCTGCACAGCAGTACTGTAGGACCAGACAGAGGAATGCACAAGGCCAATGTTTACCCAACACCCAGGGATGCTGGGACCAGACAGTCTGACAGAGCTCTCACATGAGGAACCTCAGCTATAACTAATGCAGAGGCATAGGGCTAGGGATATAGCTCAGTGGTACATTTTGCTTGCCTTGCAAGCATGAGGTCATGAGTTCAATTCCCGATACCACCAAAAAAACCAAACCAAACCAAACCCTAATGCAGAGTCAGGAAGCACAGCACACAATTTTACTGTCAAACTCATGCAGTTTGCACTAGAGGGCACAGGTGGTGGTGGTTTTAAGTTGCATACAAGGAAATTCCCACATATTACAGAGTTAATATCAGGACTTAACATAATTCTCCTATATTTTAATCTTGAACAATCCCATGTAAAGCTACATCTGATTTATCAGTTAATTTAATTAACTTTGCCTATATGTCCATAGCAGTCTTAGGTTCCCACCCAAATAAAGTAGATTTCTACAAGGTCTATTTAAGGAGACTTTTTTCCCTTTCTTTAAATACATTTAACAGCTGGGTACTCAAGTCTCCCTGAGAGAGACAAAATGTACTAAAAATTGTCTTTACAAAGGAAGACGAGGTGAAGGCCACAGCTATTCCAAACACCTGTCTTTAGCATGACTGTGATTTTCCTCCTCACTCACTAATGTTTTCAGAATATTCTTAGGGGACAGATTTTCAAGTTCCTCCTTCACTACATAAAGGAGGCATTAAAGAGTAAGAAATCTCCAAGGCAAGTACATGGAGGCATCTTATCCTGCCAAATTCCCAAACTAAAGATACACCCTCTTTCTCTCCATGGAGGCCTAACAACAAAGGCTAGCGCAGACCTCCAAACTAGGACCTCCTGCTAGAAATTCAGCATAAACAACCACCCTGCTGGGCGGAGGCCTGTAACTCATTCCTTATTTGGGTACTACCTTTTTTTTTTTTTGAGACAGGGTCTCCCTGTATACTTCAGACTGACCTTGAACTCACTATGTAGCTTAAACTGGCCTTAAATTCTCAGTGACCCTCCTGCCTCAGCCTCCTGAGTGCTGGGATTACAGGCATATACCACCACACCTGGCTGGGCACCAGATTTAAAACTGCAGCCCCAGAGAAAATGTCCACAGTCTTTTTACAGCTTTCATGAGACTTCACTGAGAACCACTGGGAAGAGATACACAAGAGTCACAATTAAATATGAACTTTACTAAACACTCATTCACAGTTGTGTTTAAAGCAGAATTACTCCATCTTTAGGAGTAATTTGGAGTAATCTGTTATTTGTACAAAGAGTTACAAAAGTTCTAGGCTGCTTTTTCCAAAGAAAAAAAATCAGGCAGAAACTAAACCCATGTACATTAGCTCACTTATTTCATTATAATGAGAACCAAAAGAATTCTTGTGATGAATAAAAACATTTTGCAAGGTGATATAGCTCAGTGGTAGATTACTAGCATAGTATGTACAAGACCTTGGATTCATTTCCCCAGCACCCTCCAATAATATATACATATACTTTTTTTTTTTAAAGCCAGGAGAAATATGTAATCCCAGCTCTTGGAAAACTGAGGCAAAGGAAGATTATTTGAGTTCCAGGAGTGTGTGACTAGCCTAGGCAACAAAGCAGAACCTTATCACAAAAAAAGAAGGAAAGAAGTCAAGCATGGCGGTGGACCTCTGTAATCCCAACACTCAGTCAGCCTGGGCTACAAAGTTCAATATCAGCCTAAATGAACTAAAGCAAGACCTTGCCTAAAAAACAAACCAACCTTACATTTAACCTAATTCTATGATCAAGAAAACTCAGAAGAACATATTCATATGTACAGAACAGCTGAAATAGGATGTTAAAAAAAGAATCCAATACAGGAATTTTTTTTTTAAATGATACTGGGGATTAAACCTAGGGCCTTTGCACTGAGCTAGGTTCCCAGTCTGGTTTCATTTTTAACTTTAAGACAGGGTTTCACTAAGTTTCTAAATTGCCCCAACTGGACTTGAACTTTCTTGCCTCCAGCTCCTAGAATGCTGATACTACAGGTAGGTACCACTATGCTCAGCTAACGCTGGGACTCTCTCCTTTTGAGACAGGGTCTCCTTACGTAGTTCAGGCTGGCCTCATTATAGTATATAGCCCGACAGGCCTTGCACTCACAGTTATCCTTCTGCCTCAGCCTTAAGAGTGCTGGGATTATAGGCAAGCACCACAGTACTTGACCAATGCAGAGATTCTTAACCCTAGGATCCTGGGTATGTTTGAGAGAATGTAAAAATCTCTTTATTGTTTGAGTTCAGAGATTTCACCAGATCCTCAAAATAAAAGGGTTAGGAAGCCCTGGTAGGATAACATAACAGTCCTTTCTAGTACCCATCAATGTGGCCCTGATATTCCTGGTAGCCAAGGCAAAAAAACTAATCCAACTTTCATCTGATAAAAATACACTCGTTTATCTAGGAGACAAATGCATAAGTACAAAAGTTTGTGAATTATTTATAAAATGGGGCCATTTTAAGATTAAGGAAAAATCTCAGTATTTCTAAGGAAGTTTTGTAGAACAGGTAGACTAGTGCATCATGTCAACTTGTGATAAGCAGCCTATACACATATGCTGCTTGCTTTATGATGACTTAACTTCTGTGTTGACTCAAAACTGGAGCCTATGAAGTCTACAAGAATGAATCAGAGGCCAGGCATGGTGGCACATGCCTATAATCCCAGCACTTGGAAGGCTGAGACAGGAGGATTGTTGAGAGTTCGAAACCAGCCTGGGCTACAAAGTGAGCTCAATGCCAGCCCGAACTGCATAGTGAGATCCTGTCTCAGAAAGACCAAAAAAAAAAAAAAAAAAGAATGAATCAGGACTGTCTTGGAGAACAATAGATCATGTTCCCTCCTCATGGGATCCCAAACTACACTGTTCTCATACATACACAGGATACCCAGAAAATATCTACTATATAATATTACATATCTTGTAGACTAGGAGTACAATTTTTTTTTTTTTCCGGTCTTTTTGAGACAGGGTCTTGCTATGCAGTTCAGGGTGGCCTTGAGCTCACTTTGTAGCCCAGGCTGGTCTCAAACTCACGCTCCTGCCTCAGCCTCCCAAGTGCTGGGATTGCAGGTGTGTGCCACCATGCGTGGCCTAGGAGTACAATTTAAAATCAAAAATATCTTCCACAGGCTGAGGTGTAGCTCAGTGGTAGAGTGCTTGTCTATCATGTGTAAATACCCTGGATCCAAATTTCCACTGCATGGAAAGAAACAAACAAAACAAACCACACCTTCCATTGTATTAGTAACACAGAGAATTATGTTTCATGCAGTATCTCTAGTTTCACTAATAATCAATCTTAAGTGTTCTCCTCGGTAAGAATCTAAAACAAGTAACTGACTAAGAAAGAACACATTTTAAAAGATAAAGCAATCATTAGTCTGAATAGTTGTTAGCAATTTTAACTGTCTTCAAAATTTAAATTTAAAACCATCTTATAAGCCATTTGAAAATCCACCTAGATTTTCAATAAAAATAAGTAAGCACAGCAGTTCAAAGGCCTGATTTACACTTGAAACTGATCCTAAGACAAATCTTACAACCTCTATGCCCTTTACCCCTAAAATAGAATTTACAACAGTAACCATAGGGCTACTTATTCATGTAAAATCCTAAGACTTGCACATAGTAAATATTCAAAAAAAGTTTGCTGCTTTTAATAACAACATGTGGAGAACTAACTCCTACAGATCCATCAGCAGAGAATGTAATCACACTAAAGACATATTAGACCCATGGGTTTATCCCTAAAACTTCCCACTTTCTAGACTTCTTTGTCTCATTAAGTTAATGTGCAGTACCCAAAATGAAGATTCACAATTAAACAGAGCTTTTAATAAGCCTCAACAAGCTGGTTATACTCTTCACATCCAATACTGATATAAAACTGACCACAGTATTTCACAGTCAAGATAACCCACTTTATAAAATGCATAATATCAGACATGACTCTAGTGTGGCTTTATGAATCAAAGCTAAATTTCTAAAGGTTCAGGACTCCTAATACCAAAATTCCTTCTAGGTAGGGTAGTCATTTAAAATCAAGTGCTACTTCTTAGATTTCTTGTTCATTAGAAGAATACATACTACCTTCTAACATAAATGGATACTCTTGTTTTTCAAAGGAAATAATCTCACTGAAGTTTCAGGTTCCGACTTCTACTTTAGGACAAGCTACATGACTGAGAATTAAGGATTACTATTATGTTCATTTTTGCTTAGGAAAAATATAATTTTTAATGTAATTTAGGAAGCAGT